GGAAGGAAGGAAGGAAGGAAGGAAGGAAGGAAGGAAGGAAGGAAGGAAGGAAGGACCCTGATTTTATCTCTCTGGGTCAAACAATTGGCTCTGTTTTCAGTAGCCAAGATATTCAAGTGATTCTTGAATTATAAGCATGCTGAGAGGAAAGGGAAATGTCTGTCTTCCTGGAGCATTTGAGAGAGGCATGAAACCATTCCTGAAATTGAGGCGCTTCATTTCACTTCTGCCCATGCTCATGGTGGCTGCCCAAGCCTTTGCACATGTTGACATGACAAGGAGGAGACAGGTGCAGGGCTTGCAATAGCTTCTTTGAGGGGCAGCTCCACCTCCCTTGCCTTATTTACAGATCAACCATCTGCTAGATCTAAAAGGAGCAACCATTCAAAAAATGACCCTGCTGCTGGAGGGGAGTTGGTAGAGCAGTGGCCGATGCTAACAGGAGCAAGGTGGCAGCTGCTGGGCATAAAAGTGATGGGGCTGAGGGGCTGCCGGCTTGACCATGAAGTCGAGTGGGGGTGCTGCATCCGATCTGGAGGAGCTGGAGAGTGGCAGCAGCGAGAGCAGCTCCGGGCAGTCCCTGCCTTGCATTGGGGCCCAAAGCAAACGCAAACGCAAGGGCCCTCGTCTGGGTGGTCGGAACAAGCAGAGGCAGGCGGCCAACGCTCGGGAAAGGGACCGAACCCACAGCGTCAACACTGCTTTCAGTGCCCTCCGCACGCTCATCCCCACCGAGCCTGCTGACCGTAAGCTGTCCAAGATAGAGACCTTGCGCCTGGCCTCGAGCTACATCTCGCACCTGGCGAATATGCTGCTCCTACAGCAGCAGCAGCAGCAGCAGCAGCAGCAGCAGCAGCAACCCAGTGGGAGCTTGGCTGAGGAGTCCTCGCTGGTGAGGCAGCCCTGCCTGCAGTATCAGCCTCTCCTGCAGGGCAGCGCTGCTGCAGGGAGCCCGAGATCGATCTGCACCTTCTGTCTGAGCAACCAGAGGAAACTGGTAAGGTTGGCATCAGACCCTCTCTGACCCCCAAACCATGGCCCACATGGAAATGGCCACTGCTCTACCAACATGGATCTAGAAGGTGGCAGTGTCTACAGCATCATAGTCCCTTGGACCTGTTCCCTATTTTAAACCAACCTGTTTGATTCAACTTCTGTGTTTTGCAAACGCAGAAAAAGGGGTACCTGAATTGGCATGAGTGGGAACATGAGGCATGTGTGAAGGCAGAACTTAATCTTTGTATTAGCAGCATGCCAAATATTATATCCCAGACAATCCTTCTTTAAGTGTCTTAGGGTGCCTTCTCCTTCTCCTTCTCCTTCTCCTTCTCCTTCTCCTTCTCCTTCTCCTTCTCCTTCTTGAAAAGGAGGTGCTTCCGAGCTCTTTCTAAAGGCTTTTTAAAAATATTACATAATATTTTTTCATATGAGCCTTGCATGCATAAATGAATGAACAAAAGTGGCATTTGCTTTGTTTCGTAGCTGGAAAAATAACATTTAAGATTTTTTTTTTTCCTTTGTAGTATTATCAACCCTTACGTTTCTCAGGTCTTTGAGTAGTATTATTTTATTGTATTTCTCATGAAGGCTTTTTTTTTCCTTACCCTTCCCTCAAGAGAACTATTCAAAAAGAATAAAAATAAAACAGTTCCATCTCCCAGTTTACACTAAACAAACAAGGTTAAAACAGAACACTTAGCACTGAAAATGAACACGTCTGTTCGAAGCTATAAGGAACTGCAAGTAAAACTAACCAACCTCAATATATATATATATATATATATGTGTGTGTGTGTGTGTGTGTGTGTGTGTGCGCGCGCGCGTGTGCGTGCGTGCGTGCGTGCGCAACCTGTGCCTGATTTGCTCTGTCTCTGATAGAGCAAGTGAAATTTTCACTGGCCACTAGCAACAGAGATGAAACAAACATAAATGTATATGTTTATGTGTTCTGCTGTTTAATAATGAATGCTTTTGGTCCTATCTGCAGCACAGAGAACGGGACAAACACTTGTCGCTTTAAAAGTTTTATGGATGTTGATTCAGATGAGCTGCTTGCATAAATGCTGGATGGGTTACAGAACAGCTGTAGGTAATGGCTTGGCACTCATGTCACAATATTCACATTGAAATTGTGCAGTTATTTTGATCTCATTTTGAAAGGCAGGGGCGAAACAGTAACTATGATTTGCACTTTGTTTTCCATTGCAGCAGACTGGTTCCAAGGGCTTTTTGCAGATGAAATTGAACACGGTGGGGAAAGTTGCACCTGGTGTGGCAGCTATTTTTGTGCAAGAAATGCTAACCCTAAGCAGCCAAGCTGTGATACTGATGCCTCCCAAACTGAGGTCACATGATGGAACTTGAACTTCCCAGCATCCAGCATCTCCTTACCATGGAGATTTCAGTGCATCAGAGCTTCTAACCACAACTGAACACACCAAGGAATGGCATGTTTCTCTCTTTTCAAAGACTCGCTGGCTTCTGCCAGCAAACCCAAAGGTTTCCACTGAGATGGAAGGTCTGTACCCAAATGATAGCAAGAATGCACATGATGTCCCAGTTTATCCAATCTCAATGAGAAAAATGACACCCCTTTATGTTGCTGCTCTGATCCTAGGAAACAATGAGTTCCTTCTTAAGCATATATCCTGTTCTATCCAGCTAAGTAGTCCAAACTTCAACCATCAAGTTGGAAAAGTTGGTCACCGTGTAAAAATGTGGGGCTTTCCAATACTGAAAATTAATCCCTTTTCTTGTTACTGGTGATCACCAAGCCAAGGTAGTTGGTCCTATTATTAATTTCACATGTTGAAAATGGAGCTAACCAGCATGATTTTCTTGAGGTTACATGTGTGTCATGTATATTCAGATTGTTATCTAAGAAACAAAGAACAATAGCATTGTAACGCAGTGGAGAAAAGGAAGTGAACTGCTTTTGGACAGCATAATTCAGACAATGATTTGCTTTTTAGAGCTAGGGCTAGATGATATATTGGTCATGGTGATCAGAAGGAATTTTAGGGTTAATTGCCCATTCTTCCCAAGCCTCGTCCCTTGGGAAATATCACATAATGAGGTTTCCTCTTTTCCCCCCATTAATGATAGGAGACACTGATTACATAATCACTCCATGGCTAGTTCTGATAAACTACTTGACCCATATACAAAATTTGGCATGAAGACTCAAAGGTCAGTAGCAGACATAACATCCAGGGTTGACATAGTTATATTTAAAGAGAGAAAGACAGAAAAGGTTTCAAGAAGCTGAGACATGATGTTGAGGTCTTCTTTATAGAGATGTGACGGTCACCAGACTGTAAATGAAGCTGTTGTTGTTCAAGTGCTTTGCAAACTGCTCCATCCTTTCTTCTGTCTCCTCCTTCTTAATGGGAAGAATGTTTCTCAACCAACTCTCTGATGGTATCTCAGCCAACCTGAGGCTTCAATTGTAGGAGGGTTCCCCCCCCCCCCATGAGCAGCAGAATTAGAAGATATGGGTTTCCTCTACCCAACAGATAAAGGATTTATGCAAAGAGTCTGGTTATTGGCTTGTCTATTGAGCCTTTCCAGGGCTAAGAGAAAATTCTGGAAATTAGTCATACAAGGAGAATCTTTAAAGTACAGGGGCTCAGTGTGACAATATCCATAGTGATTCTGCCCCAGCCCCCAAAGTGTAGTGCCTCACACTGGGGTCTCCACAATAATTTTTCCAGTGGATGGAGCAAAATGTTTGTGCTTATACATCCATGCATAGATGCACAAATACACAGAAAATATGCATATAAATATATATCAACAGAAATTTATGCAGATACAGCAAGTACTTTATATTTTTATACTAATGCCCCCCCCCCCATGTTCCCCCTTTCTTCCACTTGTTTCTTCTCTGTTAAAATTCCTATTAAAATCTTTTACATTATCCAATCAGAAGATCTGGCTGTTTATATGGTTCCAGTCCTATGTAAGTAGAAATTCCAGCTGGTGCATTTCTGTTAGACCAGAGTGTTTTCTAACTGATGGCTGGGAAACACAGGCTTCATTGCTGTTTTAAAGCAACAGTTTCTCACCTCCTGCAACACTCTTTACACCAGCCAGACCACTTTGTGCCCACTGTAGCACTGCAATAGGAAAGACCTTAGGATGACCCATTGCAGGTGAGCTGACAATGTCCTCACTATCCCTCACAGATGCTGATTTCATGGGCACCTGGGCTGCTGTCCCCATGCCAATCTGGTAGTGGAAAAGGTCAGAGCTTCTCCCCCCACCTCTGTAATGCAACCCCAGCCCTCTACCTCCTTCCCCCACAGACACAAAGTCACCGATTTGTGAGCATTCTTGTGTAGGAAATGTTTTATATGGGAAAATACTTAAATTTTTATACTTGTCCCCATATGCATTATGGAATGGTCCAGGCCAGAAATGGATAAATTAATCAAATGGAATTCTAATAGCCTTTTTAAAAGGCCCTGGTTACACTCTAATATATGGGCACTTCACTCTTAGAGCTGATATATGCATTTCTAGCAGCTTCTATATCAAATATTAAGTTATTGCTTCTCCAGATTCTCCATCAATTGTGGCAGTAACATATGGGCACCTTATGAGTCTCTGTCACCGATGCTGTGGGAAGCCTTCATCAAATAGAAAGAAGCCAAGCAGGTCAAAGTCCACCTTAGAATAAAGCCATCTTTAACCATAAGGGTGGACTCAAAGACTTGTGCCACAGATCTCTTGACAAACTGGCTTACTAAGTGACTCTTGTGGAAGATATAGTCAGACGGGAACAGGTTCTTAGATTTGAAACTTGAGAAGGACTGCACAGTGAGTCACGCCAATTCTTGAAAGAGTGTAGGATCTTTCTAAATTAGTTCATCATTGAAGCGTGGAGCAAAGAAAGTTCCCAAGGGCTCTCTAAATTTATCTGTACTTCTAGGTTATTCCCATATTGTTGCTATACATTATATTTGATGCCACCTCTTTACTGCTTGTTGTGTAGGCATGCAGTCTTTGTTTTGAATTAACATAAATCTGTAAAATATGTTTCACATTTTCAAATACAGGCAGAATAACCAAAATAAAGTGGGAAATATTACGGAAGAAAGTTTCTAAATGAGCCTCTGAATATGTGGGGCATATGTATGCATAGAACAGCAATGATGGGATGTTCCATGATATATTTTAACACCTGGTCTCTTACTTAAGTCAAGAATAACAATCCACCAATTACAATTGCATAGCATTCCTAAACTTTTAATCATCTTGATCAATATTTTACAAGTGGATCCACATAAAAGTAATATGCCGTGATATGTAGTTAACAATCTAATTGAACACTTAACTGTCCTATTTCCAAAGAACAATATAAAAGAGATAGAGGTAATTCTTACCTAAAAAGCTAATGTGAAAACATGCATTCAAATTTATCTGATTATTCCCATCATTATATTAAATAAACTACCAATTTTGAACATATATATTTATATACAGTTTATATGCATTAATAAACCATTTGAATTCAGTCTAATTACATCCAGCAGCATTTTCAGCAAGCTACAATGATGCCAGAATGACAATACACACACACACACACACACACAATGGCATCATCACTCAAATGCCACTTTTACATATTGTGTCTCAACATGTGGTGCAAATATGCAAGTTGTGGCACTTGCATGATGTTGTCATACACTTTATTGTTTGCCCCCCAGTCCCACAGATGATCATGATGACATCCTAGTTTTTCTTTAGGAAAGCTCAGGTATTTGTCCCCCTCCTCCACCCCCACCCCATGCTCTGTTGGACAAGTCAGCTGCCTTGTGTGAGAATACTCAGCAGGTTTGTTCACCATCACACAATGTAACTTGTCTGATACCTGCATGCTTATGATGAAATTACTCCGAATTGATGGACAAGGGTAGACCTGCTCTGTTTAACTCTACTTCTGGGGACAGATTTCTGATCCAGCAAATTTTCTGTCTCTTGAGACTAGACAGGAGATTGAATATACTTTCCAAGATGTGCAAAGTACCATAAAGATCATGCGCGCACTGGCAGAGATATACGTACATTTGTTATTCAGCAGGATCTGAGCCAAAAGTCTTTTTAATCTCTCCAAGACATATATTGACTATTCACCACAATAAAAACAAAGAAAAATAGCTAGTATATGGAACATACTTTTGTGTACCAATTCATACAATCATATTCTGGTCATCTACCTCTTTTTCATATTCATATATATGAGTGTAGTTTTCAGCATGATAGGGTGACCATAATGTAAGTGAGAGATTCTTATATATTTAGAAACTCTTTTTGAGCATTGTGAAATAGGAAGTGCGAGGGAATATACTAAGGCATAATTTAGTTCTGTTTCCTTCACTTTTAATCTTAACATGATGAGCTCAAAGACAGAAAGGATGAAGGTGGAGTATATATCCTTATCTTGCTTCTATGGTTCCTATTATCATGCCTGAGAAGGGGGACAATTTTTAAAGAAAACTGTTGTTGTATAGATGTAAATTACACTCTGTTCAAGAATGCTGAACGTTATAGACTTGGCTTGGGTTTGCCTTAGTAGAATGCTTTGTGACATGGAAGTGATGCAATTCTCCTCATTGAGGAAGAGCAGTGACCCCATTTATTACAATGAGGTGCTTCACATTGCCTCACAGCCTGGTCCAGACGCTTCCTATAGGTACAAGAGGTTTTTCCTTCTGTCTATGGAAAGTCCCAGAGGGAGGCTGTGAGGCAAAGTGGAACAACATGACTTATTTGCTTTGCTTTTAGAAGTGGGGGGAGAGACACACATTATTTTGTGTATCAGCTTCAGTGCAATGACCCAACTGAATCACTATCAGATCACCCTTTTAGAAACTATGGCCATACTACTGATAAGGCTGAAATAAGTTTTTACAATTACTGCAAATATGCATTGCTTGAATCAGTCTGAAAATGAGTAGCCTTTAGTTACAATACATTTTAGTATTTCACATGGTCTCACCATCTGTAAACAGGGGC